TGAAAGGTATGTTATCTTTGAGACATTGCTGTAATGTTTGTACGAATAGCTGCCACCGGGGCTTATAGTAATCCGAGAATAATCCCGACCAATGCTTACTCGCATAATCTAAAATCTGTTAAGGGGACGTTCACAAATTACATTCGCACTTGGGGGGAGGGGGGGGTCTAGATTTCTGGAAAAGTGCGAATGTAATTTGTGAACGTCCCCTAATATATTTATAAGCAGATTAGTTAATCAATCATTGCAAACATTCAACGGGAAAAATGATATAAATGATATGTAATGTAATACAGGTATAAGCAATGCATAACACTTACGTTCCCATTTGGTCCCCATATTGTTATCTGATTTTTTGCTTGATATTCGTTATATAATCGTTCCTTTAAGCAAAATGTGAAATATTTATCAATTATGACACCATTTATTGGCTTTATATTATAGATATTTAATGAAAAGGTTTATTTAAACACCTGATCGCTAACAGCCATTGTTCGGGCGCTATTAATCCATTTTCCTAATAAATAATACTCATTCGTAGACAATATGTCGTTCATATCATCCATTAGTGTTAGGATAACAGTCGACAGGTTTTTCAATTCGGTTTCATTTTTCGCTTCATAAGAAAGAACTAATTTGGCGTAAATCACATCAAAAGCCAATTGCAATGATTGTCGAGTTATGTCAACCAAATCGTACCTTAACATCAAATAAATAATAAATATATATTCAAATGTAATACAAATTTAGCTCAAATTTAACCATAAAATAATTACTGAAAAGTTGAACTATTTTTGAGCTGAGAAACAGTCGATGCATTGATAAATAATTTATAAGCGTTAAACACATCCGAAGGTTTGTACCACAAGACTGAACGTGATTTAAGCGATGGTCTCTTATTGATGGTATACTCGCCGTGATTGTGCACTTTTATACCATCTGTGAACACACTATTCTGTTGTCGTTTCATAGAAATTACATCATTATTATTCACATAAATGATAATCAATTAATTCAATTATAATCATCATATATAAATTGAGGTATTTAGTCATTTAGACATAGATTACAATACAATATTTTAACTCAAAAGTGCAAATTATGTAAAAAGGGTATAGAAATAGACGAACTTGTAATAGATTCCAGGCTTTAGTGATATCTTCATTAATATAGTTGTAACGCCGGCGCACGTATTGAGTGACCCATTGGTTGAGGTCAACCGGCGCTGAATACCACGTGCTTTCGGTCATAAAGTCATAGATTATATCATTTTGTTCAATGCCTTCTGGTGTGAGACCAATGCCTAACATATTCTCATATTTAGCTCTCGCTTCAAACACATCCTATTTATTAAATTTACACATATATTAAAAATTAGAATTAAAATTGTAAATAATAAAGTCTTAAATGTTTGTGTAATAACAAATTATTAATAATATATCATGCACATTTAATTTGCAAAATTTGTTGATAACATTAAGCATTAATATGTAATTATGTAATATACTCAACAAGATTAATGTGATTAAAGGCGCCATACATGCCGAGAACGCCCCCGAAGTTGTGTAACATACACCATATAAATGGTTGTCCGTAATAACCATCCAAATGACTGAATTGTGGATTCAATTCAGACATTAAGTCCAAAATCAATAGTTTTCCCTGAATTAACATCAAAATATATACACATTTTTATTTTTATTATTAATCTTGTTTAATAACCTTAGGCACAGATGTCAATAAAGCTTTGGCCTGTTCTTTATGCCAATAACCGGGATCATTAACAAATAGCCACCCTTGCATCACCCTATAAATTATTAAAATGTACTGTACAATAATAATAAATAATTTGTGTTTGGAAAATCAAAGTAATATAAATTATATATCAAAATAAAAATGACTACGACTATGAAATGTAAATAATAACTATACTTAGACAACTATTCTTAAAAAGTAATTAATTAAATTATTTACCAAACAGATTGAGGATCGGATTTAATCAAACTCTGATAAACAGCATTTCCACAATCGGTAAGATATGATGTTTGACTAAAATAATCACAAGTTTAGTTATAAAAATAATATTATTAATATATAAAATAATTAATAAACATATACTTGGTTTTTGGTGTCATCTCATTAAAAAGATCGGTGTTATAGAAGTGATCGGTTCCGTACATTGATGTATACTTTATAATCATTACAAATACTGTTTAATTATGTTTTCAAAATACAATAATTATTATTAAACATATACTTCACTAATAAATGCGGATCCGATTTGAACAAAGTGTGGGTCCTCTGGTTCCAGAAAATATGTGCTATTATTTAATAGAGAAATACAATTCTAAACATTAGTAAGCAATTAATGTTAAATTGGTGTCAATACACACCAACAAAATGTTTGGTTAAATTTTCCCCAATCGCTAAGTCTAGACACTTGAGCTTTGGGCCAAATGCGTGTAATATTGCGGGGCACGTGTCCGGCAAATGCTGGCAACACTGGAATCATACCCAATGATCTCATACGCGCCAATATTTGTGATTGTAATATCGCCTGCACTTTGTGCCAATTGTCACTTAAAGGACCCGACCAGCCCTGAACATTACCCATACGGTTCCTTCATTTTTCAGATTTTCAAATCATTTATATTTTCTAATTAAACAAATGTTGATATTTGTGAAAATATTAATAGACATACCATGCCAGAAATGCAGGTCCCGTAAAGTACTCATCTATTTCGGGTATTGTTAGACCAAATGTTTGAAATACCTTATTTAAAAAATATTATTAACTTGGTCACTTATTCATCAATTACCGAGAATATACACTAACTAAAATTATTTCTGGAATCACTTTAGGATTTTTCACGTCGTAATTCACGTTGAGTTATCATGGTTAAATTTGTTTTGTTAAACGACGTGAAAAGTCTTAAAGTGTTTCCAGAAATAATTTTAGGCGCTGTATATAATAATATATATTTATAAGGGCGTGATAAAATTGATAGAAACCTTTCGCCAAACGTATTCCTGGCCATTAAAAGCGAGGGGAAAATTGATACCTTTCATTGCCATCCAATCGATTTCTCGTTCCCATCGCTTAAAATCCCACCAAACCATTGAATAGCTAACTGTACACACATTCTGATAGTAACGCAGTCTTTAAAACAAAACAATTAAAAAATTAGTTGAAATAAATTTGCGATAATTTACGCACTTGTCTTGAATGACTACAGTTAGAGGTGCACTGATAACAGGGAGGGGACCGTCGGGTATATTAAGCTGATCGCCAGACCAAGAGATGTGACAATTGAGATACTTTTTAAGATAGTAATTGAAGCCATTGGCAGCGCTCACACCACTCGTTGCAGTAATTCGGATGCTATTGTTTGAAACGCTCTCTAACTTTTGGTTTTAATTTCAATAAACATTGAATAAACAATTTAAATTTTTTGAAACAACTATTAATTGCTATATAATATTAAACTTACAATAAACTTATCCTTATTGTCGGTTTGCAATAGTTTTGTATTGATTATGACTTGAAATTCATGCGCTCTTTTGGGAATAATTCTGGCGATTAGTTCTTCAGCTGCTGTTTGTTGAGCTGTTGTCTCTGTTTTGGACGATATTTGCCATAAATCCTGAATCTCTGAAATGTGTTGTAAATTATTTGATTGCATAACAGAAAAAGAATGAAAGTAAGTATACCTTTGGTAACAGCAGTCGTGGGTTTGCATATGAAACCAATTATTGTTAGAAACAAAATTAATAAAGTTTTCATTTTGGTAATAATGGTATAGATATTACATTTAATAAACAATATTGAAATTAAACAATAAATGTAGACATAAGTGATGTCTGCAAACTACTGTCTAAATATACAGTAAATGTAGGACAATATTTGTGATTTTATACTGTATTTATAGTTAGAAATCCTTCACATTTAGTTATTATCTTTGTATTTATAATGTAATTATTGATAAAACAGTAAAATAAATGGAGTTTGATCATTTAATCATAAATTACCGTTAATACTTATTTGTTATTTAAGTTATCAAATCCCTAATCAAAACTTTGGATTTAATGGAAAACTGTGGCATCTGTTTAGTTTTTAGTTATAATAAAATATAATTACATTATAAATATGGTTATTTCTCAAATCAATATATAATAATAGTTTATTAATAGTGAATATAAAGCCTTTACTTATAATGCCTGGTTTGTAGTTTAAGAATATTAAATAATAATGCAATAACTGTAAGAATGCTCAGCCTGTTTATTAATTTTAATACAATTAATTAATACAATATACAAAATAACATTTTATGATTTCTATAATATAGTAGATTTGCATAGCATATAATATAGTAGATTTTAGTAGTATAGTAGAACTGTAGTATGTACTAGGTAAAATCTAACCAATATGTATTTAATAATCTAAAAAGTGGATTAAATAGAGGAAAATTAAGTAAAGAAATCTAAAGTACATTCTAATTAAATGTTGTATTGACTGTCAATATATAAAACCCTTCAATAATTTTACACTTTATAGAAAATAATCTATATATACTAGCGAAAGGCTAGAATCACTTCTAGGATTATAACTAGTATTTTAGTCATATATAATGTGACTGATATGAGTGGTTGGGGTTTAATGAAATTTGTGATTCATATTTATATCAAACACAAATTATTTACGCTTTAAACGCATTCACTTATATTTTAAGGGCAGGTAATGATTAATTTAATAGTAATCTTGATAGTGTATGATAATTCAGTAGAAATAAAATTTGGCCGATTCCTAATCTATACAAAATTTACAATAACATTACAACATACAATAACTTCCGCATATTTATGAAATAATGTGTGACAATACTTTACAATGAGATTATTGTATAAGACGTACGTTCAGCAGAATGTCCAGTATATTGATATACTGTATACAAATAATATATGTTATATAATTCATTTCCTAATATTTGTAATAGAATTTGTTCAATAATATTATATTTAATAATAATTATATTTATTTTAAACATAAAGTATTTCATCATATGAATAGTATTTACATTAATGTTCAAAAGACAGTACAATGTTGGTTTAATTGAATATGGGTTTAATAAATTGGTTTGAATAAATAATATTTTGATTGAAGTTTTATAAGTTTTGTACGATTTTTATAAAAATTAATAGACAAATAAATGCTATGATTTAATAAAACAATTCAGTTAAAAATATTACGTAACGATTAATATCAATAATTATTATATGAATAAATAATTATAAATATTAATAATATTTTATGAATATTTATAACAGTTATCAAAAAGTA